AATTGAATTGTCAATTGAATTGTCAATTGAATTGTCAATTGAATTGTCAATTGAATTGTCAATTGAATTGTCAATTGAATTGTCAATTGAATTGTCAATTGAATTGTCAATTGAATTGTCAATTGAATTGTCAATTGAATTGTCAATTGAATTGTCAATTGAATTGTCAATTGAATTGTCAATTGAATTGTCAATTGAATTGTCAATTGAATTGTCAATTGAATTGTCAATTGAATTGTCAATTGAATTGTCAATTGAATTGTCAATTGAATTGTCAATTGAATTGTCAATTGAATTGTCAATTGAATTGTCAATTGAATTGTCAATTGAATTGTCAATTGAATTGTCAATTGAATTGTCAATTGAATTGTCAATTCAATTGTCAATTCAATTGTCAATTCAATTGTCAATTCAATTGTCAATTCAATTGTCAATTCAATTGTCAATTCAATTGTCAATTCAATTGTCAATTCAATTGTCAATTCAATTGTCAATTGAATTGTCAATTCAATTGTCAATTCAATTGTCAATTGAATTGTCAATTGAATTGTCAATTGAATTGTCAATTGAATTGTCAATTGAATTGTCAATTGAATTGTCAATTGAATTGTCAATTGAATTGTCAATTGAATTGTCAATTCAATTGTCAATTCAATTGTCAATTCAATTGTCAATTCAATTGTCAATTCAATTGTCAATTCAATTGTCAATTCAATTGTCAATTCAATTGTCAATTCAATTGTCAATTCAATTGTCAATTCAATTGTCAATTCAATTGTCAATTCAATTGTCAATTCAATTGTCAATTCAATTGTCAATTCAATTGTCAATTCAATTGTCAATTCAATTGTCAATTCAATTGTCAATTCAATTGTCAATTCAATTGTCAATTCAATTGTCAATTCAATTGTCAATTCAATTGTCAATTGAATTGTCAATTGAATTGTCAATTGAATTGTCAATTGAATTGTCAATTGAATTGTCAATTGAATTGTCAATTGAATTGTCAATTGAATTGTCAATTGAATTGTCAATTGAATTGTCAATTGAATTGTCAATTCAATTGTCAATTGAATTGTCAATTCAATTGTCAATTCAATTGTCAATTCAATTGTCAATTCAATTGTCAATTCAATTGTCAATTCAATTGTCAATTCAATTGTTCAATTCAATTGTCAATTCAATTGTCAATTCAATTGTCAATTCAATTGTCAATTCAATTGTTCAATTCTAGCCTCCAACGGGGCGCAGCCCCAAAGGGGCGCAACAAAAACCTACTGACAAACACCAGTACTTGCTTCAATCGTCATGTCACCCTACACACACTAAAAGACCTATTCCATTCAGCTTAGCTCTTAGACTTCGTCGCATTTGTTCCTCTGACGAGACTTTTTAACAACGTACTAATGAACTTAAATGTTATTTTAATAAACGTGGATATAATTTATCTTTCCTTAACCCTATTCTGCCTGGGGGGGGGCAGAAAGTGCCCGCGCTGACTTCAAGTTTATCGTACTTAAAGAGCATTCAAGAAATCATAGCCAAACTTTATGACTTTTCCTAAAAATTATCTGGGAACATTTTGGTGTGCCAATTTTTTGATCACGTGACTTGATGTTTTCCATGGCAACCAAGTTTTGACAGGCCGTTTTAGCCAAATTTGTTATTTTCAGTTTAAATGTCCGTTTTCATGAGATTTTCGCTTTTTACTAAGAGTTTCTTCCAAAATCTTTGCAATTTTTGCATCCTTATATTGTTTTCGATTTTTCAAATCAAATTTGGTGATTTTCTGACATTTCTGAACAATTGAAAAATTGAAGATGGCCGACAGGTTTAAAGTATGACGTTATTTCGGCGTGATATGATATCATAATTGATTCGTAATTGCCACTAAAATAAACATGTTTGAATGCTATATTCATCACATAAGTTTCATTTTTATAGCACAAATACTTTTCGAGATACAGATCGTTTTACCCAAATTTGTTGATTTTTTAGCTTAATTTTCAGATTTCATAAAATGTTTGCTTTTTACGATGAAATCCTTCCAAAATCTTTGCCGTTTTAGCATTTTTATATTTTTCTTGATTTTTTCAAAGCAAATTTGGAGATTTTCTGACATTTCTGAACAATTTAGAAATCCAATATTTCGGATCCAAGATGGCGGATTTTTTAGCGTATGACGTCATTATGGCGTGTATGACGTCATAATTGACACGTGACTGCCACTAAAATAAAGATTTTCGGATGCTTTACACACCATGTATGTTTAATTTTCATAGCGTCAATACTTTTCGAGATACATAGGGGGGCACATACCCCCCCCCCCCCCCTCCCAGGCTCAGGAACGAAAAAAAAAGCCCAGGCAGAATAGGGTTAACCAAGACATAGAACGTGTTCATAACATCACACGTACTGAAGCACTTACCCCTAAGGACACTTCCACTACTAACCAGCCCAAACGGGTGCCCCTCGTTATCACATATAACCCAGCACTTCGTTATGCATCATCCATTATAAATAAACACTTTAACATTCTGTCCTCATCTCCCCGTTGTACTAACGTTTTCAAAGCTGAACCTCTTGTTGCTTTCCGTAGATCTAACAACCTCAGTAATATATTAGTCAACGCCAAACTCCGTAAACCCACTCAAAATAACCAACCCGGCGGTTGCTTCCGTTGCGGTAGCAACTGTTTAACATGCAGCTATATAACCGACGGACTTACCAACTATACATTTCATTCTACCGGCGAAACTAGATTTATTTATCACCACATTGACTGTAACTCCAAAAACGTTATTTACATGGGACAATGCAACCGCTGTCACAAACAATACATAGGAGAAACAAAACGCCGACTTAAAGACCGCTTCAACGAACATCGCAGAACTGTTGACAAACATACTATCAGCTCTAAACCCACTACAGTATCGGAACATTTTCTGTCTAACAACCATTACGCCACCGACATGCAACTTATTCCTCTTGAACTCATCAAATCTAATCGTGACAGTGTACGAAAAGCTAGAGAGGCATATCTCATCGAAAGAGGGCAGACCCTTGAACCCCTAGGTTTAAACAAGAAAGATGAAACATGACATTGTTTTAGTTCTTTATATATATGCTGCTACATTAGCTTCAGCTTTATCACTTTTACTTTTGTTATTATAGTATCATAGTTTTTATCGTTACGTTTTTTCTGGTATCATTAATAGCATCATGTAGCATTTTCTTTATTCATATTTACGTTTCTTTGTATTTTTCTTATTTCTATTTTTACGTTTCTATTAGTATTTATTTTTACCGTTGGTAACTTTGTGTTACTCTATCTTATGTATTTTTCAAATTTCTAATTTTAACGTTTCTTTTAGCATATTTTTACCGTTGGTAACTTTAGCCGTGTTGCTCTATCTTATGTAAATTTCAAATTTTAACGTTTATTTTAGTATATATTTTTACCGTTGGTAACTTTAGCCGTGTGACTTTATCTTATGTTATTATAATATTATATTGCATCCCCCACATTTCAAATTTGTAACGTTACTTCAGTTAGAGTCATTCTCTGTAAGACTCTGAAGAAGAAAGGCCGTGCCTTTCGAAATATTGGTAAAATATAGTTATTCTCAAACCGTTTAATCAGCCTTGCGTTTTTTCGTCTATTTTCATTAGTTATATTTACATTAATTGTTTTCTAAAGAAAAAGAGTTGTCCTGGGAACGAGGAAGACAAAGCTTCTGTCTTACACAACGTGAATGTTATCAATGGCATAAGCCGCTGACCACACATATAATTTCTTTGGTTTCAAAATTTCTCTCCTTCGACAACATGACCAAACTTACCGAGTGGATTATTCTCGCTGCACTGGCGTTTTCGCTCTGGATTACACTATTAGCAGATATACTACCATTTAAAGTATCTTACAAAGCTAAGGAGATGATATGGCCGGTAAGATTCAAAGGGTTTTTCAAGAAAATGTCGGACCATTGAGAGTGACAGATCTGTACCGTTTGCGGTGAAATTTACTCGCCTCTAAACCATTTCTTTCTCTTTTGCAGATGCCAGTATATGCACTGATTGTGTTTGGAGTGAGTGAATACACTGTATAGTTTTTTTTTTTATACGCGTTTTAACAGACGCACACTGAAAATTTAATACTTCCGTCTAATTAACTTATAGGCTTACAATATTTCTGTGGTTCGTTTACAGTGCTACTCTTTAGCCACAATAGGATATCGTGTAGCTATTTTCAATGACTGCGAAGAAGCTTCAGAAGCGTTAAAACAGGTTAGAAGCTCAAATTGTGTTGTACTTGGCTTTGTATCCGGAGTTCCTTTTCTTGAATTTTTCCAAGGTTGCTATTGTAACCAGGGAGACCATGAACTTCTTTCTCAATTGTTCTTTTTTTGTAGGAGATAAAAAATGCAAGAGTGGACTTATCAAGAAAAGGATTCAAGTTTGACTGACACTTGGCAGCTGATAGAACTTTAAAAATTTGTACAACTTAGCTGACTCTCGTACCCAGAGTCAATGGTCTCCTCTGTCAGAGGTAGTCGTCGCCAGGTTAGACTCAAACCTGGTGACGACCACCGCTGACCGAGGAGACCGTCGACTCTGGGTATGAGATTGGGGCATCATTAAATATTATTCCTATACTGTACCCCCACCCCCTCCCTGGTTTAAAGCATATCCTCACACCCACCCTCTTGATTAAATGTAAAGATGACTTTAGAACCAATGTATAACATCAGAAGTTATTATAATAAATTATTATTATAAAATTTGTGTTAGTGTTTTGCTAGCCTGTGCGTGACGGCAAGCGTGGAGCGCGAGATGAAAGGTTTGTGTTTTGCTCCACGCTTCAATGCTTTCGTGCACTTTGCGCGCTCGCAAGAAAAAAACCCAAACCGCCTGTACTGCAGGCCAGTATTTTGCACAAGGTGAAATGTGGGAAGGTTGTCACATCTGAAGCTAGTTATGGCCCATAAAGCTCCCACAAGTCTCCTGTAGCTCAGTGGTAGAGCATCCGGCTGAAGTGCGGAAGGTCATAGGGTCCACACTTGTTGGGAGAACTCAGAATTATTTTTCTGAGCAGCTTGTGTCACGGACTGAATAATATCTTTCTCATGGTGTTTTCTACCAAGCTTATCATTTCAGACATTTCACCGTCATTTCTTTCTACAAAATAAATGATGTCACACATATACTTCTTCACTTTATTATAATACTGCATTACTATTATTTTTGTTAAACAGATAATTTATTTCAAGCGATAAAAAAATGGACCAATAAAATACACGAGGAAATCTAAGTCCTCATAAATATATTTTATTCATTTTGCCAACATGAAATTTGTACTGTCAAAATTAACGTACAAGCATTAAGGCTAATAGCAGATGACCTTTTTTGGAGGGGGCATAGGTTGTGTTACCTGTTTGCCCAAAAAGAGAGACTTGTTACTTATTGCCATTCAACACTACCACTGTATGGCTAAGCAATTTTGTACGCGAAGATTGTATAATTCACAGTCTAAACTTATAGTGAATTCAACAGTCACAGTGAACAAAATTACGTAGCCATATCATAAGCCATACGTTCCCTTTCTCCTCCGCAGAGGCTCCCTAGTGGAGGGGGGAGGTGGGGCCCCTCCCCTAGATCCACCACTGATTTGTATACTGATATTAACACTGGGCTAAAAGAGTCATTGCCAAAAAGCCGTAGATCTATTTAAAAATATTTTGTAGAGTGCTTGAGGATTTCTTGTACGATGAGTCTGTCCTGTTCGCTTTCTTCGTCTTCCTCGTTGCTAATTCTCTTGAGACAAATGAGCAGTTCATTAGCCTGATGCTTGTGTTCACTGTAGTTAGAGTTCAGTAGGATTTGGTGCAGTAAAGAAATGTACTCAGTTCTCATCTGTAGAAAAATAAAATCATCAATAATTATTATTAGATTCAACTTCACCTTGCAAGTCCTGCAATGCAGCCTACAACTGAAACCCTTCTTATTTAATTTAACATCAATGACATTTTGAATGTATCAAACACGAGAGACAGTGTTCCATTAGTATATATCCAAACACCGATAATATTTTGACAAAATTCGAGGTGTTTGGATAGTTGACAAAAATTGTCTCGAGTGTTTGATATATATAGATCTTCTCAATAAAAACAAAAACTAAGGACTAAATGGACATTGCCATAAAATCATAAAAATCTAAGGCCCAGTTCAGGCCCAGTTCAGACGCCGTACTTCACATGAGCCGAATCGAATTCGATGAATTAAGTTCATGTGAGGTACGGCATCTGAATCAATTCAGAACGGCTGAATGAATTCGGATCGGCTCAGTCATTCTTCCCGCCTGGCTCAGCCGAGAATAACGGCTGTGGACTGGCTTTGATTCAGACGCCAAACTCACATGAGCCGAAACAAATGCATGAATTATTATAATGTATTTTTGAATATAACAGCAATTTTCCCCTATTAATTTAAGTTCGGCTGAATTAAGCTCGGCGTCTGAATCAATTCAGTCGGTCTAAATTAATTTGGGTCGGCCTAAATTCGAATTTGATTCGGCTCATGTGAAGTACGGCGTCTGAACTGGGCCTTAGGTACAGTCAACTCTCTCAAAGAGGACACTACTGGAAAACACCTCTCTAAGGGGCATGGTATGCTGGATGGCCCTGGTGGAAATTCCCATGTTTGTCTGTAACTACAGTAGAACTCCGCTAACTCAGACTCCCAAGGGAGACAAAAAATAGTTCGAGATAGCGGGGGTTCGAGTTAGCCGATAGCAAATGACTGAAAAACAAGGGGAATGGGTTTGAGTTTGAGATAGCGGGGTGTTCGAGTTAACCAAGTTCGAGTTAGCGGGGTTCTACTGTAATCTCTTGGACAGAAGGTGGACAGCTGAGCTGGTCCTGAGAAATGTCTTAGACAGAGTTCAACATATTTATCAAAAGTGGCCAGGCATGTTTATTCCTGGCTATACCCTTCTAAAGTTTGTTGTTCTCAAAGCTGACATTTTTTTTTAATTAAACAAAGCCAGTTATAAGTTATAAAGAAGATTGAAATTTAAGAATCAGAAACAGCTTTGTAGAGAGTTATCTACAAACAATAGGCCAGTTGGTCGAAAGGGTGAGCGCCCCCCTGTTATGGGGGTGATCGTCAGAAACTTTGAAAAGAACCCCTAAAAGGTACCAGTATATATTGTTTTGTGGGTGTGGTTCGAATTCATTTCCACCCCTAAGCGGTACCAAAATTAAACAAAATTTAACCCCTAAAAAGTACGACGATCAGCCCCATCCTTTTTATATGGGAGTGCCCACGTGCAGATAGATATACATGTAATAACAATTAATAGATTTAAGATGAAATATTATTTGTGAATGTTTTAACTAACCCCTGCCCCAGGAGAAAGATCTGCCAACTGCCGCAAAACAATCTCTATAAGGATCATCATATCTGATGTGTAGAAAAACCCAGCAGTATCTTGAGATGAAAAGATGTCCGCAAGAAACTTGAGCACTGAGTCAGGACAAGCTCGGGGATACTGAAACATGCTGGTGGGATCCTCTGTAAAACAGGTTATAAGAACAATAATCAACATCTAACTTCTCCTTATACTAGTAAGGCAGACTTGTAACTAAAGGTAATGAGAGTAAACAACATGATCACCAAAAGGATGTACCGTAAATCCTTGAATAAGCATCCCCCCTTGAATAAGCACCCCTCTCGAATAAGCGCCCCCCACCTAGCCTGAACCTAAATTTGAAATAAGCACTTATTCGAGGATTTACGATATGTCTAGTAATCAACTTCTTGCAACTACAACTACATGTACAGTGTAGTGTCAACCAACCTAAGGGATGGACCATTTTATTATTATTATTATTATTTATTTATTTTTTTTTTTGGGGGGGGGGGGGGGGGGGGGCGTTGGGCAATTTTTCTGAGCTCAAATTTTTTTTTCCGTCTTGAGTTTGTGCAATAATATTTTTTTCACCTTTTGCTTGTGAGTGAGTGAGTGAGCTCACTTTGCACAATTTTTTTTTCTCTACTTTTGCTGTGCAGGAATTTTCTTTTGATAATTGCCCAACCCTCCCCCCCCACCCCCCCCCAAAAAAAATAATAATAATAATAAATAAATAAATAAAATGGTCCATCCCTAAAACAATCTAAATCCGAGATCACAATTTTGTCTAAAAGTGGGGGGACAGGGGGCAGGAACAATGGAAGATGGGAGAAGAGAGGGTGGGATGCGGGAATTCCCAAGGTTTATGGGAACCAGGAGAAATAAAAAGAGAGGCGGGCGGGAAAAACAATGGAAGGGGTGGGAACTGGGAGTAAATATTACAGGATGCGGGAAGTTCAGTCCCCCTCTCCCCGTCTCCCACTCCCCGTCTCCCCCCCCCCCCACCCCACCCTGAAGGTACATCTTTTTGACCCCCCAAAAATGGATTACCAAATACAGCTGATTCCACTAAAACAGTAGATAAACATCCAAACTCCCCCCCTCCCCCCCCCCCCCCCCTGCCCTAACAACATGTTTCAACCATTTTCCAAAGTGTCCAGGAGATATGATAACCTGTCTGGGAGATCGGGAGACTTGGTGTGTATCGGGGAAGTGATAGAGTTGACAGGTCTGGTGTTAAAAGAAATATGTGGAGACCAGTTGGGAGAATGTTGACATCAGGGTTTACACCCCAGTGAGTAGTGTGTTTTACATTAAAATGTACTAACCCTCTCTGTTGATAAGTAACATGATTTTCTCGCTCAATGTTTTGGCTGTTCTTCGAGAACTCAATACCCTCATCACAATATTACTCTGAAAATCTGTTAACAAAGAGATTGTACAACAAAAATCAGACTAAAAGTAGAGTAATTCCACTGGAGTGTAATTTTTATACTGCATACATCCATACACATCACTGAAATCCACCTTAACCCTCTCAGCACCTTTGCCCCTTTGCCACATTGGCAAGCAGTACGCACAGAGGACTATGTTGCTGTAGCCCTTTGCATAGACTTTCTCAAAGTCCGTTTTGCGTTTTGGTGATTTTGTCAGAAAGAAGTCGACTACCCTTTGCATGCATTACGTGCCTACGATGCTTGATAATCTACCATCATAGGCAAGCAATGCGTGCAGAGGGCTAATGTAGCTGTTGCCCTTTGTACACATACATGCATATGTCTATGATGCTTTATAATCTACCATCATAGGTAAGCAATGCGTGCAGAGAACTATGTAGCTGTAGCCCTTTGTATACATACATGCCTATGATGCTTGATAATCTACCATCATAGGCAAGCAATGCATGTAGAGGGCTATGTTTTAGCTATAGCCCTTTCCACTTGGCAACAGTAAATTATCTAAGTTGTAATAATTTGACAGTTATTTGTCATAACATTCCTACCTACAAAGTGTTGGTTGAATGCGAGGATAAGAGGAACAAAAGCATCCACTAACTCCTCGCCATGCTCACCACCTCCAGTACTTTCAATGATGTCAATGAGAAAATCCATGAATGAGTCATTTACCTGGTCTGTTTACAAAAGCAACAGCAGTTACAGTGTGACTACTACTATAACCAGGACCACTTACAGGGTTCCAGATAAGTTGTACAAAAGGCAAGGTGTGTAATCTATGAGGAATTGCAACAGGGCAATAGATATGGACCTCACTAAATCCTCAGAAGTTTTCCATTAAATTGTCAGGTCAGGTAGCTGCCCTTGTCGGTTTTTGACCTGAGACTCCCTCTCTTACAGTAGGTAGGTTATGAGAATCAGGCAAATGATCATCTAAAGAAAGCTCCCTTAACCTTCTTCTGAGGTAAAATTATTTACAGAAAATGCATAGTTTTACATGTATGATAAACAGTAAGGGGAATAATAAACTTACCATAAAGAGTAAATGGAACAGATTCTCCAGTTGAAAAGATCATGGTTAACAACAATGCACAGTGACACTGCATTAAAACATCTGCAAGGTACAAATCACGTACATATCACACAGAGCTTCAGTAAATACTCTTCATAACAAATCTTCTCAACGTAAATGAATGATCGTCTCTCC